AATGGTGATTCCATTGACACTCCAAATATCTGTTTAAATATCTTTCCTTCAAAAGTGAAAAAGGAAGGTGACAATACAAATTTAGTAGCTAATATAAATTCTTCAAAAGGCAATTTAGTTTTTTTAATTATTTCTGACCATCTATTCTTTATATCTAATAATGTTAGATCCAATGGAATATTAGTGAACAATAATGATCTTTGATAATTGTTTAATTCAAAGCTATTTTTTATAAAACTTGTACAATGTAAGCTATCACGTAAAATTTTATTCGAAAATAAAGTCAACCGATACAATGTGGAGTTATTCGAGGAAACAATTATCCTGAGTGGATAATCTTTTTATGCATTTTCGGAAGACCATAAACCTTCGGCAATGAAGTCTCGTTAGTTTTTAAATAATAATATTGTTGTTTCGAAATGTATTCCTTTGAGTGTCGGCTTTTCAAAATCGATGTTAATTGAGATGTTAATTCTAAATTCTTTATTGAGTTTTTGTTCATCGATAGTATATGTTGACAAATCACTCAGAAACATCATTCATTTTCCTTTTATAGTCTGCCATACACATTGCAACCGTTATATTGTCTTTGTCTGCTTTCATAAAGATAATATCAAGATTATTTTTGCAATAATTTTTAGTTGATCTATACATATCTATTAATCTTTTATCTATCGTATTAAAATTAATTTTTAAATCAAGAAATCTATTCAGTGAAACTGTGTGTCTAATTTTTGATACTGCACTTGTGTTCTTACTAATCAAATTACCTTCGACATCTTTGATGAACTCATACATTACTTTCTTTATTATTATCTTTATTGAGACCAATAGCAAGGCAAAAGCCTTCTCTCTCCTAATTGCAGTAAATTAGATATCCTTGACGGAATAAGTTTATTGGACCAAGTTAATGAACCATTTATTATTAGTATGATTGATCGGATTGAACGAACCTACACAAAAACTTTTAGATTCTAAACTAACAGTTAACTGTGAATCATATAAATCCGAATTTAGTTTCCCATACTTATATTTCATTGTATCAAATTCACTAATCCGTTTTAACATAATAATTTATTGATTTAATATTTTTAATTTTCTTATTTCCGTATTTATTTATTAGCCAATTTAATTTTTTAATATTATTTTGATGTATTCTAATTTTGAAGCTATCAAATAATATCGAATGGTAATTGTATTGAATTTCATATATAAATTGGTAATTGATTAATTATACTGTAAAATGTTATCCGAATCTCTTTATTTAAATAATTCATAGATTTGTATAGATCAAAGATTTCAATATTTAAGACATTATTTATGAAGTGATTTAAAGCTAAATTCCATTTATGTAAAAAAATTTATTTATTATAAATAAATGTCTACTTAGTACTGAATTTTCTTTATAAATTTTTTTTCAAGGATCGACGACGAAAATACGCCGTATACGTTTTACCATTTGTATTTCATTTATACGTGTGTGACTCTTTATTTTGAGACGAAGGAAACCTTCATTATATAAGAAGCGTCTGTGCAACCGTATTATTGCGTGAAGTAAGAAAATAGCGAAAGAAGATTCAATTTATCCCCGTCTGTCCGCCTGAACGGTCAAATTATATTGTGACTTGTAAATGAGGTCGAGAAAGTCGTGCGAGCCTCGGGAAGTTTATAGTCTTGGACGTGAACCGCTTTCCATATCCTCTGACGAGTGAAAAAAACATTTGTAAACTTAGAAATAAACTTCCTTTTTATTTAATTTTAACTCAGCGCCCTTTGAATTTGTTAATCGCAAAAGCGACGATCGAATACATTCCATTTTACGCTGATATATCATTTTCACGGTGTGATTTTATAAAAATATTCGAATTAGCTCAAAGAGCACACCAAGAGAAAGTGTAATCGATTTAATAAGAACCAAGAGAAAGAAATATTTATTTTAACATCATGAAAGTCAAAACGATGATTTTTTTTTATTACAAAATTTAAAGACTGTTTATTAATATTTATTTACATTTTTATATTTTTTACATTATCGAGAATTCTCATAATTTCTTTGCATAAACTCATTAACCTTTCAAATACTCATTAGTTGTTTATTTTATTTATAGTTGTTGAATTTTATTCATAGGAGCTTTGTCAGTTTTTGAATTAAATTTCAATTTCTTTGTATTTATATAACATTTTATTTATACTTTACATTATCTTTATTATTTACTGAAACAAGAATGATACATTGTATGCTTCATTCATAAAACGGAACATACTTTTTTGAGATTGCACATTCATAAATATAATTTCAGTTTAAAAATATACAATTTATTATTTGCTGCTATTTATCTCTCGCTATATTATTCATTTATGTCTTAATTGATATAATTTAATTACTTCATTTATAGATAGTGATGTTCAGATTTATAAATTTGTTTCTGTTGACACTTTCCCATTTGCATATAATTTATTTCTACTATAATTTATTTCTAATTATTCTCTCTTGTGTAAAAAGTTTATAGAATTAATATAATTTCTGCATAATACATATAATTAGATTTCTTCGCGTTAAGAATTGAGAAGTATAAGAAATGTCACTCTAAAGAATCACACGGAAATTCGAAAAGTGTGTTCAATGTAATAAACTACAAAGTAGACTAGTAGATTACTATGTAGTTATATAAACTATTTCGTCTCGTGTATGTCACGACCTTATTATATTTTCAAAGAATAAATAAATGAATAATCGAGGAAATGATTCTTTTGATCGTGATTTTTGGAGCTAACGAATGAATGAATTGCGGAGAGAAACCTTTTGATCTCAATTCAAAAGATTCTACATTCATCACTTATTATTATACATATAATAGCAGCGATATCCGATCATGAAATGATATCCTTTTTTACTGATGCGCGTGAATTTTCATTTCGATTTTTAAATCTACAATACTGTCTATCCACATTCCCTTATTTTTTATCTAATTTATATCTATGTAATTGTTTTTCCCTTTCCTGTAGAAGATTTAGAATTGTATAATCAATTTAATTTATATCTAAATAATTTTATAGATTTTATTACGAAAAAAATAGTTTGCTGAAATTTAAAAATTTAGTTAGACACAGATTTGAAAATAATTTTATGGAATGTACAAAATAATTATATAATATATTGACAAGGAATTTGGTAATAGCTATTAAATGTTAAATAAAATAATGCAATTAATTGTTTGATTGTAATGCATAATCAAAAATATTCTTATTTTTCAATCTAAATAATAAAGGAGTAATGAGCCAAATAATAAAGGAATAATAGAGGACTAATAAGCCAAGCTGGTTATTTGTGCTTTTAACATTATTTAATGTGTCAGATAAAAATTAAAATTGGGTTATCCTCAGTATAAAATTTATAACGTAAAAATTAAAAATAAAAATAATCATCCAAAATCCGCATTACATTTGCACACGCAAATTTTTCTTACTTCCTTAATTTTTATTTTTTCTAAATATTCAGCAATTGTTATCAAAAGATTGGTTATATGTATTATTATATGTATATATGTATACATTTATATGTATATATTTGATAATAATCATTAAATATATATATTTGAAAAGGTAAAATTATTTCTGGATATATTACTCATAGAGTCCGATCGAAATTTTTATTGAAATTGACTTGAAGATGACGAACACTCATTACGTGTCAATTTCGATTGAAATCATGTAGCTCTTCTCAATAAAATATTAATTTTAATGTGTAATTATTGTTTTAATAATTAAATTATGATGTTTATGACGAAGAAGTACTTAAATTCTTTGGCCAAAATTGACACACAATCGAAATTTCGGTTTTCGATTTCGATCGAAATTTAATTATTGTTTCAATAAATTATGACATATTTATAAAGAAAAAATATCTTATACATGGGCATGTCTGTATATAGCCTTTATAGGATTCTTATCTTTTAATTTTTGTTTCGGTTTCGGTTAAAATTAATGTAATATGTAGCCGAGTATTTCGATTCAATTTCGGCAAAAATTTCGATCTCTAATTAATTGAACATTTAATTAAAATTTCATTCATTCAATACTATTTATTTCAATACTATTTATTTCATACAACATTTGGTAGATTCTATCACAATTCTTTTTTCAATGATAGGATGTTCAAGTCAAATTGATTACTAAAATGTCAAAACTTCTTGCACTTATCATGCTCGGATGCTATCTTACATAATTATTTTGAAGTTTATAATAAGGTTATTTTTAAATTTGTATTTGATTGAATCTTTAAGTACTTTAGTAAAACTTTTTTTTCCGATTCAAGGTCCGATCACGAAAGTCTCTTTTTACTGATCACCACGCGCGAGCATGATTACATCTGTGTTACGATTTCTACATACAGAAAAGTATGGATTGTACATAAGAATTACTTATTTCAAGTATTTCAAAAGTTCATATATTCGCAAATCATAAGTTCATTAAATTTATTCAAAATCTATTTTGAATCCTAGTAAATTTAATGCTTCAATCAAGATTATTAAATTAAAATAAATTTGACTTGCTTATTATATAAAGCCGCTTCTTGGATCAATTTTTCGAAAAAAAAAAAAAATAATAATAATAATAATAAATAAGTTCTTATTTTGAATACATAATGATGAGTTTTTGTAAAATTTATAAAATAAATATTATTTTAATTATTATAAAGATTATTAAAAAAAAATTCTTTGTTAAATTATTACACTTAAGAAGAAGAAAATCAATTAAGTAATCTTTTCTTAGCAATATCAATAGAATGATATTTTTTTGTAATTTATTTTTATAAAAAACTTTTTATATAAACTTTTTTTTCGTAACTTTTTCATTTTATCTATATTTTTTAAATTTAATTTACGTCAATATATAGAGATTTACATCCATATTGCAATTATCTTCTTCTGCGAAGAGACCTTTAGCGAGATAGAAAGGGTTAGAAAATCGCACAGAAATTCGGAAACGGAAGTTTATACCTTGTGCAGGCTGATATATCGTTTGATCTCCGATTTTCTTTGTTCCAGAAGAATGGCACTTTGTATAGATCTCTTTCCTTCTCTTTCTTTCTCTTCAGATAACGTCTCTTCGATGTCTCCGCGACTGAGTGACCGCGCTTGGAGCACGCGACTACTTTATACCGTGCTGGTGCCGTTGGTGGACGGTGGTGGCGGTGGTAACGAAAATCCACCCTTCCCGCTCACCCTCTCACTATCTCGCTCTCGTTACCCGTACGGTAATACTGTCTTATATATCTCGCTGATCTCTCTGTTTTGGTTCGTCAATCTAAATTGATTATTTCTTTGATTAATTTAAATTGCTTTTCCTCTTTTTCTAATATTAACTAGTTTAGTTGCTGGGAGTAACTTCAAAGTGGTGAAATGTCTGATTTTATTAAAGAAAGTAATTTGATTATTTGAATTGTATTAGTAAATTTGTATTTGAAGTCAGTCTTTCGTCTGAGGACATTTATTTCTTAGGACGTTTAATTGGATCTGGCGCTGTGCTGAACACCTCGAGCTCGGATTTTGTTATGCTAAGCTATTGTTTTAATCGTAAGACTTTATTATTATAATATCAAAATATATATTATAATAATCAAGAAATGAGACCTCTAATTTCACAAAAGCTTGCACTGGATTTTCTGATTTTTGAAAATTCATAGTATTACTTTTGTCTATGTCGATCGGAAATTTATTAGGGAAAACGAAAAAGAAGAAAAGAGAGAGAAACCGTTTACATCGATATTTAAAAAGGGGGGGAGGTTTCTCTCTTTTGTCAAAGAAAGAACAAAATATCAATGTTTCTTTTATTGGAAAAGACACAATCTTTTTGTAAAAGGTCATTTCTCTTGCAAAAGAAGCGATTTCTAATTAGTATTTTTGCAAAAGATCGATTCAGACATCGCCCATCCCTAAATTTATGAATTTCACGACATGCTGAAAACGTGTTAATCCGTGCGTATCATTGGGAATCATCGCGAATTATCATATTGTTTCTCCTTTGCTGTTTCTCTTCCCTTCCTCTCTTTCTTTTTTCGTCTTTCTATTTCTCTTTCTCTTTTTATTTGAAAAAACTTGATTACTTGTATGACACCTTCGTTTGTGGTGCCCGGGAGTATCGAGTGCCCTTTTGATTACAGCTTTTTTTCGATTTATGCTATGATGAGTTCTCGACGATCGAGAAAAAAAGTGATTCCAATTTTTAACATCGTGATTCCACAATGAACAATTTCCGCTTAAAACTTTTCCTTCTTCTATGCCGCGTGTGAAACTCTCCGCGCTCATCTTTTTCAAAAGTCTGAAAAATAAATGCTGTGATACTTTATTTTTTCCTCTGCTCTTTACTTAAAATTCTATTTAATTCTCTCATTTGCGCAATCAATATATTATTATATAATTATATATATATATATATTTATAATAAACATTATTTATTGCGACACGCATATTAATTGTGTTCTAATTTAATGTGTAATTAATTTCGAAAAATCATTACGTATTAAAAATCGCAATATTGTGACATCAAAAATTGAAGCGCAATAGTTTTCAATTTTAGAAGATCTCAAATATTAATATTGGGAAACATAATATTGGGGGCGGGGGGATTATTAATAACAAAATATATTATAATAATAATTATATTTTCTTTCCGATAACAATTAAGGGATTAATTATTTAAGGTGCATTCCACTTATCTTTCGCAACCCTCGCGAGGATTATTTAACTTTTATTTAATTATTCGATAAACAAGATGAAATCATGAAAATATAAAAATATAACGCATAATGATATCTAAATATAATTTGGAGCAAGTTTCTGATTATATAGTGGCAATTTTAATAGCGGCTTTATATTGACTTATATTGGATTGTCCGGAAAGTTCGTGTCGATGTTGAAGGAAAATTGAAACGCAGAAAATTTAAATTTTAGTATACATTTATTAAATTATATAGATTAGTCGGCACGAACTTTCCGGACAACCAATAGAATTCGAAGTCAATTAATTCTGATTAGTCACATTGCAAATGTCGTTTCTTTGAACTAGAGAGTCTCAAATTAGAGTCTTTCTATACAATTATGCACAATTTTTGAAATTTCTTTGAGATTTTTTTGAAGATTTACTTGATCTTCTTACATCAATAAATGAAATGATAAGCATTGAAAATAAAAAGTGAAATGCACTTTTAGAGTGAAAGAACGGTAGAAAAAACATCTCACAGTCAGTTCTCGAATTTCCCTATATAATCTTAATATTCTCTCTCTCCAGTTTTTCATTTAACTCTTTTATGTTGTATCTGCTTATTTCCATTTTTATCAATGTAGATTAACTTTAATCTTTTTACTTTAACTTTTAATCTTGGTTTAACTTACCTTTCTGTTCCTTTTTCTAATTCTTAAAACTAGAAGAAAGATAAAAAGTAAGTTAAAAAGACACAAGTAAGTTAAAGTTAATCTGTATGTCAAACATTATTTCATTTTTTACTTGGCTATATTTCTAGAAGCGGTTCTTCAATTGCTTATGACATCAAGCAGTATGCAAGCTGCACAATGTTTTTTTTTCACAGTTTCGCAGATGAGATGTTGCGATGATACAACCCAAGCAGAACGAGTCACAGATAACGTCAAAATGACATTAAAATGAATCGGAAATGATTGAAAAATAACTTTTAATGATTATTTTGGAGTCATTTGATATCATTTTGATATCATAATGACTTGTTGTTATGGGATTAGGGATACACTGAGAGAATTTTTGATA